AGCTAAGATGTAACAACCTGGAAGACAATTGAACTGTTTTCTATGCAGTATTCAACCAGATGGTATTAATATATTGTAGACCCAAGCAAGTATTTGAATTGTCTTCTTTCATGTGTGCATCTCAGTCTATGATTGGATGAAGAAAAGTCTTTGGATGAAATGGAGCTCTCAAGAAATTATTGTGGGTAAGTAAATGAAAACAAATTTTTCTCACTTCTGTCTTTCTCTCTTGTGAATGTCTCTTCTGCTTTCGTCATTCATCTATATAAATAAAGCCATAATTTATTGCTGAGTACCAATATTGAGTATGGGTTCAGATGGAGGACTGTGGTTACTATGGAGGGAATCACATTAAGTTCCTAAAGGCCTTATGAAATTCCTCTTTGGGATACACCTAGACCAGGTTTTATAAAGCTCAGGTACTGAATTTATCATTGCACACAGGCGTCACTTTTTGTTTCTAGTAGCAAAAATCTGGATTAGCCTAAATATCCATTAATAAAGGAACAGGCAAATGCATTATGACCTTGTGATCTGTCCATTATATGAAATTTGTATAGGAATTAAAAGGAGTGACTTAGAGTTAAACTGGAGAAGTCTCCATGTTACTGTAAGTGAAAAAAAAAAGCTTTAGGGTAATGAGTGTGGTATTGTCTTTTTTTTAATTTGAAAAAGAAAACAATTACACTTATGCATATGTGATACACGTGTATCACATAAGTTTAATATTCTACCTTCTACCTAACTGGTTATGACAGTAAGGTTGTTATAGACCCCTCTTAGGCATGACTTCAAAGGGAGAAGAGCACCATGATCATTGGCGGGTCTCCTTCCTAATTGTGAGTGTGTGTGCACATAGAGGAAAATGTGGAAAAACACACCTGAAAATATAGACATTGAATACCTGTGTGAGAGAGAACTGTAAGATTCTTTAATTTATAAAGAGGAACGTGTACTTTTATAATAAAAATTTAGTGTCACATAAAATTAAATCAAGTTAGGCTAGTGAAAGCCAAGCTTAAAAATGGGAGCTGTTTAATTAAGTCTCCTGTATGTTTATGCCTCAGTTGTCAATTTCTTTAGCTCTGCTTGAAGACCAGCTGCTGGCTGAGTGGTTGAATTGTTCATGTTCTTTGTGGATTGGTGATTCTCCAGTCACAGGATAATTGCATAACCTAACAAATTGCTGGGCTTTATGTTTTTCACTGCCTAATCGCCCTTATTTCTTTGTGCAGACTAGATTCCATGTTATGGAAGTAAATCTAGCAGTCAGTCTATGTCTTAACTTAAGCTCAGAGATAAACTCATAGACTTTTTTTGAAGCGAAACACTTTTTTTTAAAGATTTTATTTATTTATTTGACAAAGAGAGCGAGAGAGGGAACACAAGCAGAGGGAATGGGAGAGGGAGAAGCAGGCCTCCAGTGGAGCAGGGAGCCCGATGCGGGGCTCGATCCCAGGACCCTGGGATCATGGCCTGAGCCTAAGGCAGACGCTTAATGACTGAGCCACCGAGGCATCCGCGAAAGACTTTTAAGATTTCATGTTGCAGCAGGCATTTCCCCATGGATCAACCCCATGAGAAAATGGGAACCAAATAAACATTTTACCCAACTGGTTCTGACAATGGGGTTGTGATATACCTCTTTTAGGCACAACTTCAAAGGGAGAAGAGCACACTGCTCTATTTCCTAAAGCCCCCTGCTTCATTATAACAGAAGGGTCTGTGTGTGTACGTATGTCTGCATAAAATCAGAAGGGGCATCCCAGGTTGCAATTATATGTCCTGCTAGACAACAGCCAAGCTAATTCTGGGAGAAATTATGTGATCTGCTGCTTCTGCAAGGAGAGGAAACACATACAAAGAGTGACGAAACAGGGTCAAAGAGTGGCTAGCTTGCCATTTCTTAAGGAAGCTCTCGGGGCTTTCAAATCCTAAGGAAGCTTATCTGTAGTTTTTTGTGTGTTTGTTTTAGCATGCCGCTTGTTTTGGAGGTCTTAAAATCTAGATTTAACATTAGAATTGCTTTAGTGTTTGGTCAACTACGTTTGTGCTTTAGGATTGGGTTTTGAATTTATAAAACATAAAATACACTAATAGGACATTTTGGTGACTTAGAATCATACTTTAGCCTAAAAGCCAACAGTAAAGGCTCTGATACTCATTGAGGAACCTCATCCTTTCAAATCAGGTGAATTGTAATTCTTCAAAAGAGTGAATCCTGCACTCTCTTTAAGACCCACATCAAGCAGCCTGGTGCTTAAGAGAGATAAACTTGGTTTGTTCCTGATTAGCTGTAGGACACTAGGCAAGTTTGTGGATCTTTGGTGTTTTGCCCATCTGCCAAAAGAAGTTGTTCGAGTTGACTCCAATTTCTCTCACAAGCTGTTGCACTTAGGCTCATGTGGAATTTATATGCCAAGTGATTTCTAAGCCCTTTGGTCTCTGGCTTTCAGATCACTGATCATTGTTATGGAACAGCTGTAAACAGACTGGTCCCTTGACGACTTAGAGACCTGATTATTATTCATGATAGAAGTAGGTAAAATGTTATGAAACTGACTTGACTATTTTTCCTTCAGAAGTGAGCAAAAATGTGGAGTAAAAATATTTTTATTGCAAAGTTTAAGTTGACTTGTAATCCATCACTCACATTTTAATCAGTAGGAAAAGTGTCTTGAGTGTATAGCTAAATTTCTGAAAAAAGATGAGATGGGGCACCTGGGTGGCTCAGTCGGTTGAGCGTCTGACTCTTGATTTAGGCTCAGGTCATGATCTCAGGGTTGTGAGATCAAGTCTCACGTTGGGCTCACTCTGGGCGTAGAGCCTGCTTAAGATTCTCTCTCATTCTCTCTGCCCCTCCCCCCCACCCTACTTCACCCCACACCCCACCTCTCGCATGCACACATGCTCTCTCTCTCTAAAATAAATAAATGAATCTTAAAAAAAAGAAGGGTGAACAGGTGGAAGAAATCGATTATTAAGAATAGCAACTCTTTATTGAGCACTGTGGTGTGCCAGACATTGTGCTAATACTTTTTGAGATTCTTTTGCTCTATCTGCCCCACAAATCTGTAAGGTCCATACTATAATTATTCCCATTTGATAGATGATTAAACTGAGGCTGAACTACTGAGAGACACAATGGTTTGCCCAAGGGTCCCCAGCTAGTGAATGACAGAGCAATACTGGTTTCTTTCTTTCTTTCTTTTCTTTCTTTTTTTTCTTTCTCTCTCTCTTTCCCTCCTTTTCCAGGTTTTTTTTTTTTCAAGTTTTTATTTAAATTCCAGTTAGTTAATATATAGTGTAATATTAGTTTTTCTCTCTATAAGCAGAGTCACCATACATCCCTGTTTGCCCAGGATAGTCCCAGCTTACATCTTGTATCCTGATTATTATTTCCATCTCAAAAATGGATTCAACAACAAATTATATGGTCACTCTATCTCAGGGTTTTCCCATCCTGGTACTATTGACATCTGGGGCTGGAAAACTCTTTGTTGTGGCTGGCTGTCTTGTGTATTATAGGGTGTTTAGCAGCATCCTTGGCCTCTACCCATTAGATGCCAGTAGCACGCCCATCCAAGTAACAAAACCCCAAAAATGTCCCCAGATGTTGCCAAATGTCCCCTGCGGAGCAAAACTGCTCCCAGGCGAGAACAACTGCTCATAAAATGTAACTACAGAAGGAAAATATAATCGATTTGTTGCGGAACATAGGCTGTGAACTGAACCTACCTCATACAGTGGCTAGCACATGGCCTGTACTCAATAAAAGTTTAATTCCTGAGGGCATTATTTGCCCAATTGTAGAGAGGAGAGAAGGCTAAGCAAGTAATGAATTAAGATGAGCGGAGGGCTCTAGTGATAAAAATTGGTTTGTTGCAATTCTTAATAGAGAAGGCTGAAACCGGGTGTTGGGAAGGGACCCAGAAGCTTCCTGGTTGCCCATTCTGGTCACATGGTGGAGTCTGAGTCTTGATTCCACTGGGTGTTTGGCCTTTAGGGCTGAACACAAAAGCCCGGGAGGTAGCCAGAGAGTGATACCGTGGAAGTCTCATACTGCAGACTTCCTTCAGTGACAACAGCTAATGATAATCAGCGTTCTATTTTTCTCCTACTCTTATACTTAGAAATGACCACCATCTCTTTCATACCACCATTTTCCATTTATTAGCAATAACAGAATAAATACCAATAGCACCAATTAAAAATGAATCCACATGACGTGTTTTATCCTTACAGCTGTAATAACTAGTAACTAACATGGACTGGAAAGCACTTTGCAAATGTAAAAAGTGCTGTACAGATACATTATAATTATCATCATTAATAAATTAGCCCGATTCTCCTAGTATTCAAAAGGCACGTAAGGTCAGATACATGGGTTCAATGGGGCAAAATGATCACAACCTACAATGTAGCAATGGTTCACATGTGTTGGCAACAAGTTTTACCCCATGCAATCCTGCAGAGCTGAAGTTACACACCCTTCAAAATATGGGAGAATGAAGCTAAAAGTAGACAAAACAGGCTTTTTTGGGAGATTTAATGTTTTTGTTTTAATAACAGACTCCTAACTCTTTTCTGATAACTTGGAAAAGATAAACTTCTAAATTGTACATTTTAACAAAATTAAAATTTCTTATCTAAGGTGACAGTAAATTTTGTTCTTCTATATGAGCTGATATTCCAGATGGCATTAGAATTTCAAAGCATTCTGCGACTTCAGCGAGGTCAGATTGGTAAATTTTGTGCTTGCGTACCCTTAGGGAATAACTACGGTATTCATTCCAGAATTGTTACTAGAAAAAAACAGCTTTATCCATTCCCTTGCCAGCAGGAGTCTTGGCAAGGGACAGCTCTTGGCTGACCATAAATAAAATTCCTTGAATCACCAGTGTCTTGATTTAAGAAAGAAATTTTACTGTGTCTTTCATACACAAAAGCTGATTAAACAATGGTTAAAAAAACACTACTCCACTTTTTCACAGGTGTACAAAAGGAAATATAATGGAATTACATTCAACAATAAAGCTTAAAGTTCACTCTAGGTAATAGTTGCATTAACATTCACATACACAAGCACAGAGTAAGTATATTTCAGGAGTCTTATAATAGCATACAGCATACATATGGGAGATTGATTTCAGGTAACATCATAGGTGTTAGCAAGATTAGCAATTCAGAGTGTTCTAAAAAAGGCAAACTAAGCCAAAGAAAAGGTGTGGGCTAGCACACCAAGACAAACCACAGAATTCGAGGGTTAAAAAGTCGGCTCACTGTGTGTATGAGAAAACAATGATTTTTCTTCAATTTTGGGGTATTGATATAGTTGGCTAGAGAAGGTTGTGTATTCAAAGTGCACAGAATTGTTTCTTAGAAAAGAGAGAGAGAGAGAGAGAGAGAGATCCTTTTATTTAGTAATTAATACATGCAAGAGGCAGCCCCAGAGTGACCTGAAAGAGTAAAGCTGTGATTGGCAGGTGTCCAGTATAATACAGATGTTTCAGGCAATTCTCTTAAAGCACTTCTGTAGCAGCAACGTCATTTAAATGGCTGTAGACTGGATTCTCTTTTGAGGAGAGTTGAGGGGAACTGTAGTCATCATATTTCTCTTTAAAGATTTATAGTTATAGATTTTTCTCTTTTTTAAATAAATCTATCAAACAACAAACAGCATAAAGTGAGGTGCTGGGGTTTTCTTTCACGTTTGCTTTTGCATATGTGTTGGAAAAGGATCTGGCCTTTTCATAAACATTGTGTGCAAAAGAATTTGTAGTAAAGTGAGCACAAGGACATCCACAGCAAACACCTCAGATCTGCTTCGGTCACCCTGGTCGGCCCCATTCATCATTGAACTGTTGGCTTGGTGTAATGCGGGTTTTAGGGACCATGACACCACAGCCGACAGATTCGAGGCCTCCTAGAGCCTCGTCAGTGGGGGAAGGTGGCCACTGCCTCTTGAGTTGTAAGATTTAGACAGCCTGGTCCCTTTTCGTTTCGCGATCCCCCCTGGATTGGCAACCCCCGCTGTTCCTTTGCCTTTCTTCCCAGCAGCCCTCCTCGTGCCAACTAAGTCTCATCTGGCCCCTCCCAGCCGATGTCCGGCGCTCACGCACCACCCGTGACCACACAAAGCCAGTGGCCACCGACACCCAAGCTGCTCAATCTCAAAGCCTGTGAGCCTGCCCTGCAAGTGTCATCAAGACAGCATCCCCGGAACACAGGGCAGAGAGTCCAACCTCTCACTGGCGGGACTGGGAAGCCTCTCCTTTTCGGCGGAGGAGAAAGGAAACTTGGGTCTGCTTTTTAGGTTCTGAAAACAAGCCAGAATGGAGAGAAAGAGTTAACACCAGACTTAGTAAAGCTTTTAAGACAAAACCTGTTCAATGTGATCTACACAGACGCAGGGCACTTTCTGCAGATTTCTGAGGTCTATAGGAGAGGGCTCATGGAGACAGGAGAAGGGAGTGGGCAGTTGCTACATGGGAGAGATTTGCCATTATTACAAAAACTGGCTAAGTGGCTTGTTTCCGTGAGGTGACCTCACTGGTCACTGTTGTCAGTCGTGCTGTTCCCTTTCTCTTTTTTTTCCTGGGTCTTGTTACCCTTCTTCTTTTTCTTCTTTTTCTTGGTCTCCTCCTTTTTGCCGAAGGTTATGAAGTCACTTTTGTCAATTTGGCTGTTAGTAGGCTCCTGCCGGATGGAGATGATTGCAGGAGATCCTGGGATAATGAATTTGTCTGGCAACTCACCGGGACCAGATTGTTTGGGGTTGCCTGGTCCGTATTTAAAGGTCCAGCTGTTGCTGTTGACACCAGCGCCGACTGGAGGGGACACCTCTCCGGCCTCCGGTTCTGAAAGACAGAGCATTGCAAGTCAGCAAGAGTCAACACACGCCTTCCAGGCCCTGCGAGTGGGCGGGAGACAGGGGAAGCTGCGCAGGCGAGCCTGGCGCCCTGAGAGAGCAGGGGTTTTTTCTTCAAGCCTGAGGGCAAGGTCAGGGTTTGGAAACGATCAGGAGGGCAGATTTCCTCACCAGAGGGTCTGGAAATCTAATTTTCTAGTGACACACTTTTGGTTCCTTGGGAAGAATTTCCTAAAGAATGCGGTTGTGATTATTTGGCCTGAGAATAAGATGGGAAATGTACTAGATCAAAGCAGAATAGGCAATGAAAGAAGTAGGAATCAATTTAACCAAGGAGGTGAAAGACCTGTACTATGAACTCGAAAATATTTATGGAAGAAATGACACAAATAAATGGGAAGATATTCTCAGCTCATGGACTGGAAGAATTGATATGGTTATAGAGTCAATGTAATCCTTATCAAAATTCCAGTGGCATTTTTCACAGAAATAGAACAAACATCTCAAAATTTGTATAGAACCACAAAGGACCCTAACTAGCCAAAGTAATCATGAGAAAAAAGAACAAGCCTGGAGGCATGCTTCCTGATTTCAAGCTATATTACAAAACTATAGTCATCAAACAGTATAGTATTGGCATAAAAAAAGACACTTAGATCAATGGAACAGAATAGAGAACCCAGAAGTAAACCAACACATATATGGTCAATCAATTTACAACAAAGGAGGCAAGAATATACACTGGGGAGAGGGCAGTTTCTTCAGTAAGTGGTGTTGGGAAAACTGGACAGCTACCTGCAAAAGAATGAAACTGGACCCCTGTCTTATGCCACACGCACAAATAAACTCAAAATGGATTAAAGACTCGAATGTAAGACCTGAAAGCATAAAATTCCTAAAAGAAAACATAGGCAATAAGCTCCATGACATGAGTCTTTTTTAATCTGACACTAAAAGCAAAAGCGAAAAAAGCAAAAAGAAGCTATACTACATCTAAAAAGCTGCTGTCCAACAAATTAAACCATCAACAAAATGAAAAGGCAACCTACTGTAGGGGAGAAAATATTTATAAATTGTGTATCTGTTAAGTAGTTAATATCCAAAATATATGAAGAACTCTTACAACTCCACAGCAAAAATGCCTACAATCTGATTAAAAAATAGGCAGAAGATTTGAATAGACTTTTTTCCAAAGAAGACATACACTTGGCCAACAGGTACATGGAATGGTCGTTTTCCACTTGTCAGTACGGCAGTCATCAAAAAGACAAGTGTTGGTGAGGACATGGAGAAAGGGAACCCTTATGCACTGCTGGTGGGAACACAAACTGGTGTAGCCACTATGGAAAACAGTATGGGGGCTCCTCAAAAATTTAAAAATAGAAATACCATAAATCTAGTAACTGTACTTCTGGGTATTGATCCAAAGAAAACACTAGCTTGGGGCACCTGGGTGTTTACAGCCGGTTCAGCCTCCGACTCTTAGATCATGATCTCAGGGTGGTTGAGACTGAGCCCCATGTTGGGCTCTGCAATCAGCACGGATTGTGCTTAAGACTCTCTCTCCCTCTGCTCCTCCCCCAGCTCTCTCTCTCTCTCAAATAAATAAATCATAAAAAAATAAAATTAAAACACTAGCTTGAAAAGATAGGTGCACCCTGGGCGCCTTGGTGGCTCAGTTGTTAAGCGTCTGCCTTCGGCTCAGGTCATGATCCCAGGGTCCTGGGATCGAGCCCCCATCAGGCTCCCTGCTCTGTGGGAGCCTGCTTCTCCCTCTCCCACTCCCCCTGCTTGTGTTCCCTCTCTTGCTATCTCTCTCTCTGTCAAATTAATAAATAAAATCTTTTTTTAAAAAAAGAAAAGATAGGTGCATCCCTATGTTCACTGCAGTGTTATTTACATAGCCAAGATATGGAAACAACCAGGGTGTCCATAGATGGATGAATGGATAAAGAAAATGTAAATATTGTAAAAATGAGTAAAGAAAATCTCATTTAAAATGGTGTCAGGAAGGGCATCTGGCTGGCTCAGTCCCTGGAGCATGAGACTCTCCATCTCTGGGTGGTGAGTTCAAGCCCCAGGTTGCAGGTAGAGCTTACGTTAAAAAAAAGGAGTCAGGAAGCCCTAAGCGGGGAACACTCTCGCATATACCACTCCTAGCAGCCTGCACTACCAGCAGGAAAAAAGAAGGTAATTCTTAACTTGACAAAGAGAGATACTTTTCACATAGGAATTTTATCTCCTGCTTTTTTTTTTTTTTAAAAAGGACAATCTCTCCCTGTCCTAGCAACAACACACTAACCACCACCTGAAGCCAAAGAGAAACCACCACAATCTCAGACTCTTGTTCTTTTCCAAAGAACTTTTTTTAGAGGGGGAGAGGCAGAGGGAAAGGAAGTGAGAGAATCTCAAGCAGACTCCCCACAGAGCGTGGAACTGGATGCCGGGCTCAATCCCACAACCCTGAGATCATGACCTGAGTGGAAATCAAGAGTCATACACTTAACCGACTGAGCCACCCATGCGCCCCCCCCAAAGAACTTTTGTTCGAAACAGCCCTCCCCAATTTCCTCCTAAAACCTAATAAGAGGTGACCTTTCCTTTGTCTCTTTGGATTTGCCTGTGGTTTGTCATAACTTGCTTGTCCCAAATTGTAATTCCTCTGCTATTCCCTAATAAACTCATTTTGCTGGTAAAAGAACTGGCTCTTTTATTTTTAGGTTTGACAATCTATATAATGGAATATTATTTGGCCATAAAAAGAATGGAATCTTGCCATTTGCAACAACATGGATGAACTCTCAGGGCATTATTCTAAGCAAAATAAGTCAGAAAGAAAAAGACAAATACTGTATGATCTCACTTATATGTGGAATCTAAAAAACAACCACAGTAACAAAACCAAAACCAAAAAGCCAAGCTCACTGACAGACTGGTGGAGGCCAGAGGCAGGAAGGCGACAGGTGTGGGCAAAATGGGTAAAGGAGGGGCGCCTGGGTGGCTCAGTTGGTTAAGCAACTGCCTTCGGCTCAGGTCATGATCCTGGAGTCCTGGGATCAAGTCCCGCATCGAGCTCCCTGCTCAGCAGGGAGTCTGCTTCTCCCTCTGACTCTCCCCCCTCTCATGCTCGCTCTATCTCATTCGCTCTCTCAAATAAATAAATAAATAAAATCTTTTTTAAAAATTTTTAAAAAATGGGTAAAGGAGGTCAAAAGTACAGACTTCCAGTTATAAATTAGTAAGTCATGGTGATGATAGTTAATAATACTGTATTGCATATTTGAAAGTGACTAAGAGAGTAGATCTTCAAGTTCTCATCACACACAAAAAATTCTTTTGTAACTGTATAGTGACATGTCAACTCGACTTAATGTGATCATTTTACAACGTATACGAATATCAAATCATTATACTGTATACCTGAAACTAATATAATGTTATATGTCTATACTTCAGTAAAAAAAAAAAAAAATATTAAAGAGAATCTCTTTCAAAAAAAGAAACAAAAAACCACAAGACCTGAGGTTCTAAGAGCTGTTGTAAACAGGGCATTCCCTGGAGCAATTAGTGTTGTTAACTTTTTTTAGCCTTTCTACACTGAAAGCCGCCCTGGGCATTTGTTCTTGTAAACACCACTGAAATACCTGAATCTCATTTGAAGTCAGGGACCATACTACTGTTTCTCCAGCCACTTCTCAGGGCCTCTGGGGTCTCAAGTTTGCTGTCATAATTTTCAAAATGGAGGTTTCGATAATGCTGGTAAAGAGAAGAGGCAGCTGAACAAGTAGACGATGCCCCCCAAACTAAGAACTGCCAAGGGATTGCAGAACATTTGTCTGCAATTATACTCAAAGTGCTTTAATTGTCTTCAGGTGATGGGGAAAAACCTACACAAGAGGTACATGACGCAGTTTCAGATGTGAAAAGAAGAAGAATATGCTAATTCTTAGCATGTGAATTAGAGAACATTTTGGCTACACATGTATTTTGACACCTACTCTGTCCAAAACAAAGGATAAATTAGTTGAATCCTAAAAATAAATAAATTATTTGATCCTAACTGTATCACCGTAACCCTGAAGTCCCAGCACAGGAGAAGATCCTGTTGTAAATATGCGTCTATTTGGGCAAAGCACTGGGAGTCAACCTTACTTTCCAAACCCAGTCTCCCCCCTCAGTGTGCTCAGCGTCTAGTTGGGACAGACATTCAAGTGATTATAAGGCAATTGGATAAATGCAATGACCAACGTACATGTGAAATGTTTTTGGGATTCCAGAGAAAATTATTAATTATACTTGAGAAAGTCAAAGGAGGTTCCAGAGGAGAGATGAAATTTGGAATGAGACTGGGGGAAATTATTACGCATCCACAGGGGGTTTTGATGCAAGACTTTCCCAAGAGTCCAGCCGGAAGACGCACTGACTTCTAGAAGAGTAGAGGTCAGAGCTAGAGAGGAAGAGTAATGATCTGTCTGGGCAAAGTAATCCCAGTGGCCATGACATTGAAACCCTTTGACATCATAGTAGCGTTCTCGTATCTGACACTGCTCCTTCGGTGGAATCATGAAAAGTTCTGCCAGAGAAACTGTTAGTGTTTGATTGCAGTTTGGGATTCTCTACATCTGCTCTTTCCATCTCCTGACCTAGCACTTCCCTGCCTCTTCTAATTTGGCATCCGTAAGCACTACTTTTATAACAGTGCTCATGTCAAGCCCACTAATCATGTTATTGTCAAAGCCAGTGGTCACAATTTAGTCTGTGCTGTCGTGAACCCCTCAGCGGCATTTGTCAGTCCCTTCTGGAGACACTGGGTTTTACGAGTTCCCTGTCCTGACCTTTCTCTGTTGGCCCTAGACCTTCTTCTCTTCTTTCTCTTCACTCCTGTCGAGATCTCAGCCATGTCCATGGGCATCCGCACTGTCCAAATATGCTGATGAGACACAGATTTCTATCTATCTAGAGCCCCTCTTATCCCTCTGTGCTCCAGTC